CAGGTTCTGTCAAATGAACTCGAAAAGCGATCTGTTGAAATCGATCAAGACCACAGTAAACCAACTATTGGTATGTTTCTTTTAGTGTATACAGTGCAGTAAAGTGTGAAATACCTTTTTTTTTAGAAAAAGTAACATCAAATATTTTAAGACAACCACTTGGAGAGGTTTGGTTTCACTTATTTTCTTCATCATTTAATTTCGCTTGCTTTTAGGTTCCTATTCATACCAGTGGTGTTAATCTAGAAGACGAAAGAAAAGAACTTGAACAACTTCGAGAAACCATCATTCTTCTCACAAGGCAATGTGCACAACTAAATGAAGCAAATCAAGCTTGGATACAATATCAACAAACACAGTTGGATACTTTCAAAAATACACTTCTTGATTGTTTACCAATAGATGAATGTTTCACATATGATCAAGCTGCACAACAAATTCTTAATCAAATTACAAAAGAAAGAGAAGAATTTACTAAACAATATGAAGCATTAGAAAAACGTAATAATGATCTTCAATTAGGTATTTTATGTTTTAACTATCATCGTCCTTCTTTATACCTTTTCTTTTGTATAGAATCAGCTACTAATTTAGAAACCATCAAAGAATCTTACATCAATTCAATAGATGAATTAAATAAAGAATTACTTTGTATGACGGAGCAATGTGAAATACTCAATGTTGAAAAACAATCTTTAACTAAGGAAGTTGAAAAGATGTGTGTTGAAATGAATGCAGAACAAAATAGGCAACTAATTGGTAATATTTTTTCTTCTGTATTTTATATAGAATTACGAATTTTGTTTGTTTTTCAGAATCAGCACCAATGAATTTATTACAAGAAGTCTGTTATATTGATTTATCATGTTCTTTTATGATGTTTATGTTTTTTCTTTAGGTTCCTTTACAGACAAGTGCTTCTAATGTGGAACAGGCAAATGAAGAACTTCAACAATTACGGGAAAGCTATGCTATTCTTACCTCGCAATATGGTCAATTAAATGAAGCTAATCGTGCTTGGCAAGAATTTCATCTAACTGAAGTAGATAATTTCCGTAGAAAAATACAAGACTTTTTACAAATCGATGACGATATATCATTTGATCATATTGCACAAAAAATCATTGATCAAATAACTAAAGAACGAGAGTATTCTGATGAACGATATCAAACTTTAGAAAAAGCACATATAAATCTTCAATCAAGTAATTTATTTTGTCTATCGGTATTTCTCTTTTTTACTTAATTAATAATATATTTAGAATTGATTCAAGAAAACAAAGAATTTCTTCTTCTGAAAGAACAATATGATCAAATTCTTCATGAAAAACAATCTTTAATTTATCAAATTCAAAATAAACCAATTATTAGCAATCAAGAACGTGATTCACAAACAATAGGTAAATATTGAAATTTAACAAAAGTTTATTTTCAATTCTTCTATTGGTATTTATTTAGAATTCATAGACTCGAATCTTCTCAAACAACAAACTGAAATGGTTTGTTCAATTCTAAAATGATTTTTTTTTTGTTCTTTAAATTCTTTTTTTCTCTGTTTTGTAGTGTCAACTTCAAGAAAATCTTATTTCACTAAGCAATCAACTTGACGAAACTAATCATTCATGGCAACAATTTGAACAAACACAATTTAATTTACTTAAAAGTCTTTTACCATTTTCGACTACAACATCACTTAAAGGACTAATACAAGAAATTATTTTACATATGAATGATTTAAGAAAAGAAATTGATTCATATAAAGAAAAAGAAAGTCAACATGATGGTAAGACAATTTTAAATATGAATTTGTTTCTTTTTTAAAGTTTTGTTTAGAAAATAAAATTGAACAAGAACTTATTGATTTACAAAATCATTGTACAAAATTAGATGCAGCTAATCATACATTGCAATTGTCTTTAGATAATCAAATTAATTTATTAAAAAATAAATTGAAAGATTATATTAAGTTTGATAATCATGAAAATTTCGATCGAATTGTTCAATTGATTGTTTTACAATTTCAAGAACAAAAACAATTCAATGAAAATACTCTACTAGGTAAAAATTTCAGAATAAAAAAGAAACATTTATATATAAAAGTAGAATGTTGCTATTAGCTTTACCAAACATTTCTAATTCGAGATTTGAAATAAGAAAATCTGCACAGTGGGGAGTCAGGCGGACATATGCGAAAATATTCTTTTTCAGAATCTAATCGTTTGCGCAGATACATGCATATGTGATCTATCATTTTCTAAAATAGTGGTTCTCAAAGTTTTATAGAGCCCTAGATAAG